ATGAAAAAAACAAATAAAAAATGCACAGTTTGACGAGAAAAATTTGAGGTGATTTGAGGTTAGTAGAGCCCAGCCTTAAATAATTAGAAATCTTACCATGTCCACCATTTTGTCCTGGACCTCCTCGGCCACCATTCGCATGTATTTCCAAGTTTTCAAAATTGATAAATTGTTTACCAACACCGAAAAAATGGCCTGCAGGGCCACCCGGAAGTCCCTGTGAACCGTCTATATCTTTCTCCCAAAAATTTGTGCTTTTTGTATAAATATTTTCCCGCGGTTTCCCTGTTTTTCCATCTAAAATAATCTTTCTTTCACCAACAACTTCCCATGTAGGAGCTAGTATGTATATTTGAGCCTCTTCACCATTTTTATCAATTGTTTCGTCTATAAAAATTTTATTTAGTGCGAAAATGTTTATTTTTTTCACTTGTGTCCAACAGTCAATTTTCACCACATCTTTTATTCTAACATTGTATCCCTTAACAGTCAGCTGTTCTGATGTACACGAAAATGTGATGTTACGTGTGAAATCATCAAATATGACTTTCATACGGTTCAATTGGAGTCGATGAAGTTTTAGAATTTTAACTTTCTGATAAATTTTATAACTGCCAATTTCTTTTACAACATTTTCTAATTCTGTGATATTTTGGACAGCCTTAGGCTTTGAATCTAAACATGATAATATTATTTGCTTAATTCGGTCGTCACTTTTCAATTTCTGTGATTGGTATGTTGATAAATTATCTTGTAAATTATTAAAAAAATCATAGATATTTTTTAAATTCTCAATCAAATTTAGAACATTCAGCAGACCATTCTGTAATAACACCATATGTATGTCTCCATTGCTATTTGATAAGGTTGTAAAAAATTGTAACTCTTTAACGTCATCTGAAATATCGTTCAAATTGGACTGTGATACAGAAATGTTCAAAGTATTAGTTGCATCAAGAAATTCTTTAAATAGATCTAACGGTTTGTTGACATTTCTGATTTTTAAAATAAGGTCATAGGCTTGCTGAAATCGATCACGTAATATTCCAATGTCATTATGTTGTTTTTCCGTCTGCAGACAGTCGGTGTAAGTTTCATTGCTCATCTTGTATAAGCGATCCATCAAGGCATTTCTGAATATGTCATCAACTATTCGATCAACAAGCAGTTTTGATGATGCAGATAATGCAAAGTTGAAATCATTCACATCTTTATCTACAAAGTATAAATTTTCTGTTATCATATTCATAATTTTATTAATTTCATTTTTCGTCTTTTTTAATTTTTCTAATTCTCCTTCTCGAGTTGGCTGTCGGAGGATAGCAATTCTTGGATACGATGCATTCTTTTTTTCTACTAAAACGTCAATTAAGTCTGCAAATACTTTGTATTTTCCGGAATCTTCTGATTTATTCCGATAAATTTCTTGTTTTTTTATCAAATAATCAGCTATTCCCTTCAAAACTGATTGATCGTCATTCAACAAAACAGGTGGTGTGTCTTCATCATCAGACCACTCGTATATATTCTCTACTTTTGTAGCTACTAGTGCTATTCCGTCATGAAATTTAGAAATGTTTCTAATAAACTCATTGACATGTTCAAATAAATCATCAAAGTCGTTTTTATTTCCATTGCTTTTCAATGAATCGTAGTTGATCACTAAAACGATTTTGATTTTTTCAACCTGACTCATAAAAATATTTTGGAAATATATTGAAGATATTTCGTATTCAGGATCTCGATTATCACGAAATCCTGGACAATCAACGTATGTTATATTTCTCTTAGCATCAGTTATTGCTTCTGGAACAAGGGTTTTCGACCTCAAACCTGTCCCAATTCGACCATCTACATCAACAAATACACGATAAGCTTCTCCTTCTTGCTTTACGGATTTCAATTTTCGCCCAGTCAGAGCTGAGACTATTGTACTTTTTCCTGCACCAGTATTTCCCAACATCAATACGACTTCTTCATGTTCGTCTTGATAAATGAGTTTAGTTTTGTGTTCTTTCCAAAAGTTCAAAATCTTCGTATAATTAATGTTGACGTCACGTCGCACGATGTGGTGTTTACTTAGAATATCAAAATTTTTATAATAACTCCAAGTCATTGTTAATGATGGAATTAAACAAAAAATAAGACTCAATAATAAAATTTGTGCCATTGTGAAGAGACTTGATAACTGATTGTCTTTACAGAGGCTTTATTAAATACTTTTTTCAGCGATGAACGTTTGTACTAATGTTGTAGAGCAAATGATATGCAAAAAAAATAAAGAGAGATTGTAATTAACATATATTTATGTATTGATAAAAGGGTACTTACCTGGATTAATTAACTGATGTTACTGGTTACTAATTGTACCTAAGCAGTTACAATTTTAAAAAAACTGAACTGCCTTATAAGATTAATAGAAGATGTTGACGTCGGATCATTTCATTTAGAAACGATCGACAATAATGGCACACAGGGAATTAAATGTTTAATTTATATCATTTTTAGATTTTTTTAACGTGAACAGTGGGGAGACGAACCATACGAGGGTCTTTTATATAATTCTAAAGTGTAAACTTAATAATAAAAGATACGATACAGAAATAAAGATTAAAAACTATTGTAATGATAACAATGAATTAAAAAATTTTAATCAATTAATTTTATGAATCGATAAAATTCCATTTTAACGGATTATGTAATGTCGTAAAAATTCTATCATGCATTATTATTAATAGTTTAATATAATTGTCCATAAAATTAGAGTATGCTGATTTGTTATTCACAAAATGCTTCTTATTTTTATCCTAAATATTTAATCCTCAGTCTAGGGTTACCATTTCAAATTTTTGAAACCCCAGACTGAAGCGGTAAAAAACCCGGACAAAACAAGGGCTTATCCCTAGTAGCCAAGATCTGACGTCAGAATTTTCGTCAGCCTTACGTACGTCTGCTTCCTTTCTGCAGCAGCATCTGACATCTAATGGTGATCTTTTGTTAATCTAATTAGGTTAAGAAACCAAAAGACAACAACATACGTAAGTCTGACGACAGTCTGTTTCCTAATGGCTACAAGGGATCTCATCAAAAACCAGGATAGATCAAACTTAAAATTTCTTTCCTAAATATTTTAAAATTTATATAAATCTCTATTGTATTGAAACGTAAAATGTTTTACTTAGAACAAATCGCAATTATTAAAATTAAACATTGATTCCATTCAGAGACGCGAAAAACAATGAAAATATATCCATAGAACCATTTTTTATATAATTTTTTAACTTTTTTATAAAAAGAAACTAAAATAAAAAACCCAAACAGCCTTCCTAGTCAAAAAAAGAGGACATGTCTTGGAAAACTCGGACGGATGACAACCCTACTTCAGTCAGGTTATCAGCAATTTAAAAGTTGAATATGGATTATTGCAATTGAAAAATATTCGTATATTTTTATTGATTTTTCATTTATTTTTTTAGATCTCATAATTTGAGAATAAAAAAAAAAATAAATTTTTATCATAATATTAAGAATGATTGAAATAATAATAACATTCATATCTTATATAATTTTTGATGATTGTTAGACACTCAAGGACAAATACAACATGATTCAATAATAGCTTTGTGACAAAATAGTTTCATGTATGGTTAGCATTATATAAAAACCTTCCATCATCATTTTCAATAACATTCTATTAGTTCAGCTGTAAAAAATTTAATAAAACATCAGAGATAGTTAAAAAAAAAATTAATTAAATAACATTAGATAAAAAAAACATTTATTGTCATAGGAATTATATCTGTATTTAAGAAGAGAATTTTTTTCTAAAATAAGAGGGCTATTTTTTCAAGCCTGATTCAGATGAACAAGTAATGTCTATATGGAAAAACTTTTTTGAAAAATAAATACCATTCTGGTATTGTTCTAAATCTCACACAATATCTAGAGTCGTATTGTAATTTCCTAAAATTATTACAAAAATTACAAGAATTTTTACAGACTTTTTTTTAGAAGATAATTTCTGTAAGGGTTAGTTTAACAGATAATCCCATCAAGACTGCAAATCCGAATATTTTATAAACGTGTTAAAATAACACATAAAGCTTGTTTAATGTAAAATGTCCATAAACAAACTATAAATGATTTGTAGACACTTTCTACACATTTCATAGTGTGTTACAATCTATAGTTTGTTTGTAGAATTTAAAATTGAAGAGGCTTAGTGTGTTAAAAGTGTCTACAAAAATAACACACTTGGATTTGCAGTGAAGTTACTATACATAACTATTATTTGTTTATTTTTGATTCTAAAATGTCTATAAATTTTTTCAGCCACTATGATCATCATCGAATAAAAGTATTTGCTGTTGATTTTCCTCTGAATTAAATTAAAATAGTTGGATTTTTCTTTGCCCCATTAGATATTGATAATTGGTATATTTTTTTATCCTTTTTCGTCATACCCGTGCGGAAAGTTCACTTTTCCATTGGAGAGGGGTTGAACTTTCCACACGAGTATGACAAAAAATCATATTCACACCTAGGGAAGAAAAGTAGACTATTTTAAACCACGTGATTTAAAATAGTCTACTTTTCTTCCCTAGGTGTGAAATGTACTATTTTCCAAACATGAACTCATTTTTAATTGGTGGGTTGATAATTTCTTCTCTATTTCTATTCAATACTACAATAATAATTATATCTTCACACCTTCCATAAATTGTTTTAAATTAAAACAAACAACATTACAGCTTTTATTTTAAACTCATTAATTCCTGTTTTTAATTAACATTTTATTATTGTCAACTAATATTTGTAAATAATAGTTAATTTAATTAATAATAAATGGTTTTCTGCACTCATTAATACATTTTTTTCTGTTTCATTTATTAACTTGATGTATTATATGAACATGATTTTGAATAACCCGCCATTTTATGTACAATGGAAAGTGCTGCCACGTGTTGGAATCGTGAACTAACTTTCAAGATTGAAAAAAGTAACGCTCACGTGTTGTTGTAGATGCGCAATTAAAAACAAATGATTTTTTAGTATTTTTTTTTATTAACAATAGACATTAATTGTCAATTAAAAATGGATGAAAAAAAAGATGACATTAAATCAGACAGTGTCCCAGAATGTTCCAAGACTGCAGTCTTGATGCCAAGCACTTCTTTGCCCATTAATACACCGTTAATTCAAGGTTAGATTGTTTGTTTACTAAAAAGAGTAATATTATTAATCATTAAAATGGATGTTTAGGTTAATTAATTACCGATAAATCATGTCTTTATTTTCAGGATATGATTTTAATCAAGGAATTGATTATCATGCTTTACTTACCAGTTATAAAAATGCTGGTTTTCAAGCGACAAATTTTGGCTTGGCAGTTGATGAGATTCAGAAAATGATTGATGCTAGAAAAGTTCCATTGGGTGATGATCAAAATGATGATTTTGAGGAGGATGAATTTATTAAAAGGAGAAATTCATGTACAATATTCTTAGGATACACATCAAATATGGCATCATGTGGGGTTAGAGAGTCTATTCGATTTTTAGTCCAGCACAAAATGGTAAGACATTTATAAATATATTTAAATAACCTTCTCTTCAAGAGTAATCTATTTCTTCTCTACATCATAAATGACTTATTTATCTTTTCTCCAGGTTGATTGTATAGTAACGACTGCTGGTGGTGTTGAGGAAGATTTAATCAAATGTCTGGCTCCTACTTATCTAGGAAAATTTGAATTGGATGGTAAAACACTAAGAAATCAAGGAATTAATAGAATAGGCAATCTTTTGGTGCCGAATAATAATTATTGTTTATTCGAAGACTGGTTGATGCCTAAGCTTGATGAAATGCTTGAAGAACAGAAAGCTAAGGTATTGAAATTAATTTTTTAGTACTTAAAAAGATGAAAGTAGAGATGGGAATGAATTTTAATTAATAAAATAATCAATTCCATTCTAGGGAGTAATTTGGACTCCATCAAAAGTCATTGCTAAATTAGGTAAAGCTATCAACAATCCTGATTCAATTTATTATTGGGCTGCAAAAAATAAAATTCCAGTTTTTAGTCCAGCATTGACTGATGGCAGCTTGGGTGATATGATGTACTTTCATTCTTTTAGAAATCCTGGATTAATTATTGATATCCTATCAGGTATATTATTACACATTATTTGATTATTTATTCAAAAAGTCTATCAATTCTATTAAATCTTGTAAATATTCATAGACTTGAGAAGATTAAATACCATAGCTGTTAAGGCTGTTAAAACTGGTATGATTATAATTGGTGGTGGTGTTATCAAGCATCATATTTGCAATGCCAATTTAATGGTAAGTTTAACTACACTTTAACCATTAAAACCTAAAAGGATAATAAGCTTTTTAAGAATACGAATAATTTTTTTTTTATATCAGAGAAATGGTGCTGACTTTGCAGTATTTTTAAACACATCATCTGAGTTTGATGGCAGTGATAGTGGAGCTAGACCTGATGAAGCCATTTCTTGGGGTAAAATTCGTACTGATGCCACTCCAGTCAAAGTAATAATTTTTTCTTTTCTATCAAGGACTTATAACTTTAATAAAAATTCTAGCTGTCAATATTATTTGAAACATTGATTAATCAATTTATTTAATGACATTAAAGTAAATATGACTTTTCTAGATTTATGCTGAAGCTTCTCTCATATTTCCTCTCTTAATCGGTGAAACATTTGCTCGAGATTTCCATAAATCCAAGAATCCACTTGGAAAGAAGAATGATTAATTGAATCTAAAGGACTAATTGATCTAATCTGTAAGTTTTCTTATCATTCATCTATCTTTACCCCTTCAGCAAAGGCAACAAATATTTTTCTATCAATTAATTAATTAATTAATTTTAAGATGAACAAAAGAATTGGTTCTAATGCAATAATAATCATTGAAATATCTATTTTATAGAAAACAAAAGTGATGTTGGTTTTTATTAATCAAACCTTACCTTTCTTATCCTTTCTGGGATATGTTAAAAATTTGAAAGTAAGAGAAATGTACATAAGGGGGATGAAAAATCAATCAGAATGATATTAGATAATATGATTGAATATCTAGATGACAGAAAATATGACTATCATATAAAGTATGATAAAAATGTTATATATCTTGATCTAAAGGCATTGAGGATGGTCGAATCATCCATCTACCCTTCTCCTGATGGTTGTTGGAGAATGGCGCTTGCGTATTAGTACGTAAAGCATTGAAAACGACAGGTAAACTAGCTATCAAACGCGCAGGGTTGTAAAAGGGGTTGATTTTTTTTTCCCGAACAAAGTGGGGGAAATTTTATACCTCAGTTGCGACTCGTGAGTCCGTGCACGCGGACGCATGCGACAATACTACGGTTATTATATTTTAATCCCCCCTTTGAAGGCCATAAGATTATTTATTATTTTTTTTTTTTGTTTCAGTAATTAAAATAAATTGGAAATAATGTGGAGAATAAAGTCAATAAGTTGAAGATTTTGTTTTTAAAAGTCTTTCTAAAACGTGTTTACTGGTTGAAGAAAAGTTGGATTATTTATTTTTAATTGTTTTTTATTTATCTCGGTATGAATAATGATGGACGTGGAGGAAACCAATACGGCCTCCACTGCGAGCTCATCACCCAGACCGTCCAGCCCGACGGCGGATTCAACTTTTATCAGGTGAGAATTATTAACAATATTGTTTTTTTTTTTGTTATTTATTAAGAAGCTTTCTTGGTTATTTTAATAAATAAGTTTTATTTGTTAAAATAATTCTTTTAATTTTCTTTCTTTCATTTCTGTAAAGAATAATATTAATGATTAATATTAATATTAATTTATTAATTACATTTGTTATTTATTTATAATATATTTTGTGTATAGGGAATTAATTTATTTTAATACGATAATTAATTTTTAATTTAGTTTTTAAATGAATATATTTTCTTCCGAATTTCTATCATGATTCTCTAATTTTATCTTCTTTATTTACTCGATAATACTCTTCAATCTATCCTTTCAAATTATTGTAGATTAATATCATCGTTGTCTATTGTTATTATTCACAATAGTTAATTGATCATAATGAGATTTCGGAATATTTAGTGAATATTGACTACTCGTAAATTCATTTCAACCATGACAATCCCAGAGATTTAAAATAAAATACTTGTAGCCAATAATATATCATTTTAATTACATTAAGATATTGTTAATTAAAATTAAGATTAGTTAATTAACCTTTTAAATTTCTCTCTAAAAAAAAACAAAATCAACAGGAAATTGAAGCTGTATTTTTTTTTAAAATGATATTTCTCTATGTCCGATAAAAAATTCTTCAATTTCCTTTTCTATTGATTTTTTTTTTTATTTTATTTTATTTTCTACAAATTTATCTAAAATTATTTCTGTTAAATATTGTATGTAAAAATGATTTTATTTTAAATTTATCACAATCAATATTATGATTGTAATAATGAATTTACTGAATGTATACACTTGAGACTATTTACAACTATTGTATTACCAATTATGATTATAATATCTAAATGTTACAAATTATTTTAAACTGTTCTACTTCAATAATTATATCAAAAGCTTCTCCAAATATAATATTGATTATATATTTAAATTTATTATACAAATAAGTACTAGACTATTGTTGTTATCATTTACGTTTTACTGTAAAATTGTATTACCTATCAGGAATTTATTGATGACAATAATTCTTTTTTTGTCATTAGTATTGAAGTATGATAGTGATACGATTGGAGATTATTTTAAAATACATATTATACATTTTCTTTATTATTTTTTGCTATAAATTGATCTCCATGACGATCATTTGATCTCCGGAAATAGGTTGGAAGGATAGCTTTTAAAAGAATACTTGGATGAATGCCTTACTCGATTATTCGGAAATAGAACTGCGGTTGAAACCACTGACGCCAGAATTCTAGCAAGTGATTTTTTTTTTTAAACTTTATTGATTAATTTATATCAAATATAGAACTGTATAGAATATAAAATCATTCGATTCAATTGAATGAGTGAAATATTTTGAAGTTTTTATCTTATTCACTGTTGGATGTATTTAAAATAGAAAGATGGATTTCTTATTCTTCATTTTTATTGTTATTTCAATAATTATATTGATAAATAATTTAATTTATTTTAAGATCAATCTGTGAAGTATAAAAAATGAATGTTGTATTTAATTTAATTGTATGAAATTTGTTAGAAATTTATTAGAAACAATTAAGCTTGGATGAGTGATGTTATTCGAAAAAAAAAAAAAAATATTTATTAATATAAATAATGATAAAGTGTGGGTGTTAAGATGTTTGTTAAAGGATCGAAATAACGCACGTTAAGTTAGGTAACAAAGAAAAGCATCAATGAAACTTGTAGACTCGATAACCTTTATAATTAAAACCCTTAAATGAAGTTTTTATTTTACTATCATCATCGACTATTTTCTAATAATAGTTAATCCTCAGTTTAATTTTATTTTTTATTTATAATCTATCATACCGAATTATAAACACTATAGTTAATTAATTTAATTACATTATTACATCTATTTAAGGGTTTTAATATTCAATTATTTATTCATAAAATTCATTTTCAAATATAAACCTGTAATAGATTTACTACGAAAACAATTTAATATTAATTTAAATGAAAAAAAAGTAGTGATAACATTGCATGTACTATTGAATGTAATAATGAATGTAAATGATATTAAATTGGTCAATTTGTTTAGTCATTTACCTCTAGACTATTGCCAATTTGATATCATTACAAAAAATCAAAATACCTTCACATAAGTGTATGAAAGCTTTTTCCTTGTGTAAAATCCAACACTGGCTAATGCCGAAATAGGATATCTATTCATAGTCATTACAGATCTGATACTCGGTACGTAGTGTATGCAATGTATATCGTGAATAGGAGCCGTTAAATTTAAGGACAAGAGAATACTGAAAAAAGATCAATTTTAATCAATATTATCATCTGTCTACTCTCTCACCATTATTCATCAGAGCTATCGATATCATGCTTACGGACATTTGTTTATTTATTTATCAGATGAATTTAAAAAAATTATTTTAAATAAATCCATTTTTATAACTCATTAATTATTACTGATAAGAGATATTTTGTAACGAGCTTTTTTTTTTTTAAAAGTCGAACTTTTAATTATGCTTTGATTAATCAATACACAACACATTGATGATTGGATCATTAATTTGTTGATTAAAATCATTAAATTATTTATTTATTTATTGATTAAATTGACAATAATGTTAATAATTATAGTTTATTATTTATTATTTAATTTAAAAAAAAAAATGGCGTATTTAATTTGTTAATTAATGAAGAGATTTATCTAGAATTGATTTAGGAATTATTATTGTGGTTTTATGAAAGGCTATTGTAAGATAAAAAATGTTAAGCACTCGAAAAATTAATGGTTTTACGTCAAGGATATTTAAAAGTTATTTATATAATATTATTCAAGGACATATGAAAATTTTTCTCACCCCTTGTGAATATTATTCTTTTCTGTATTTTCTTTTTTTTTCCATTTTCATTACTTACAATCTAACCTTGTCGCGTGTTGGCGTATATATGATCTGTCTATATATATATATAAGCTTCATCAAAATGTAGGTCAACTTGTCTTTATCACAGGATCGTTGGGAAGGACCTTCTTTACACCCTCGTTCCAATTTTTGTTTTCATCTGTATCCTTGTTGTAAGCTCTAAGTTGTGTAACCTTCACTTAGTCAATGATTTATATACATATCTATAAAGAAATGAAAGAAAAAAAAAGTTATTTAAAAAGGAATATAAATTAAATTAAATTGCTATAATTGTATATAAGCTTTATTTACTTATTACTTTTATTTGGTGTCTTCATTTTCTTTTTTACTTCATAAAGTATATAATGGATGTTTACCTTTTTCTAGCATAAAAAGAGAACCGAGTACAGAGGAACCAAGCAGCCCTTTAGAAGCCAACAGCCCTGGATCAATTTTACGAAATAATGGTAAGCTTTCATGTCTCTTTTTTTTTTTTTAAAAAGGAAATTTACTTTTTAATGAAACCCCCCTTTTTTTTTACTTCAATGAGATTATAATAATTAGGACAAGGTTGGTGTTGATGTAATATTAATTAACTCGTTGTGTAGGATAATTTACACATGGTCTATTGGTAATATTAAGTGTAAAGAAAAAAGATATTGAAAAATTAATTTTTCTTTAATCTAAATTTAAATATGTATTTTATTCTTTTTTATCTATGGTTTTAAATTATGTTTCCTTCATGACATTAATTTGTGATAATTGTCAATTTCATTGTATTTACTCACCTTGATGTTGAGTTAATTATTCAAATTGGTTTGAATAAGGTATTGATAGCAGCATACATTTTCAATTTAGTTTTGTCCCAATTACAGAATATTTCTCAAATTTGCCATTTTTGTTTCTTTTTTTTTTTTTTCATTGATTTTTAGTTATTTTATATTTTTAACTAAGAGCTTTAAATATAAATAAAATATTAAAATAGTTTAATTTATTAAAAATGATTTTATTTTAACAAAGATTTTGTCTTTTAGATTATCCAAATTATTGGAAATTTTCTCCAATCTTTGCATTTTTTATCATTCGTCTGCTTTCTCTTCTTTTTAGAGATAGAAAATTAGATCATCAGACCAGTGTTTTAAGACTCATTCAGACTTGAATTTTTAAGTAAAATAAATAAGTCTTGGAGTTAATTTTTTGGAATAAAATCTGACCATAGAAATGCTGAATAGTTGATTGAATAAAAATGAAGTAGAGTTGATCCATCAAATGTCTATGATGTTTTCGATTTAATGAAAGGAAATATTAAGTAAAAATAGTTCTGTCGTCTAGGATTATTTCAAGGCAGTTTCATCTAGTAGGAAGCAAGACTGGGCCATTGCTTGGTCTCCAACATTGGACCCAGGTTGACTGGATTACTCTAGTGTTGAACCAGGAATAGATCAATCTTGCTTCTCACTAGGGTAAAACTCACTAAGGGTAAATATTCCTGTTGCTTAACTGGGGGAAAAATTTATCAATATCAATATCACAAGTGGCCATTCTTGGCTTGACACCTGAGTCAGTCTTTGGCTCAACGTTAGTCTCGAAATGTCGTATTTCTCTGCTAAGTCAGTTTAAACAATTACTCTTGAATTTAAATCTGTACTTAATTAATTATAAATTTAAAACAAGACAATTTTAAGCAAACTTAAATCCTAGTGGGAAACAATGTCTGATTTATTTTTGGCTTATCATCCAAGTTATAGCTGGCTTTGATTGGCAACAGTGTTGAGTCAGAAATGGACCTATTATGTTTTCATTCTTAGAGAATTATGCAGAACTTTTTTTTTTTTTTAAAAAAAAATCACGGTTGAAGAGAACTAATAAAATATTTTATTAATATTATTAATATTTCACGAAAAGAAAGATTGAGTGAAAATTACCCTGCAATTCAGAACAATCCATGTATTTTATCACAGACAGAGTAGAATTTATATTGCAAGAGAATAAAAATTACCCTTCAAAAGGGTAAAAAAATTAAACCATCAATCAGGGTAAATTTTTACCCCAATTTCTTTTCTATGTTTTATCGTAATATAATAATTTATTTATGAAAATTAATAACAGAGTTCACAATTTCCCGTGAATGTTTATTTTTACCCCTATTTTGTCGAATAAATTCTATCCCATATGGATAAATTAAGATTATAAAGATAGGAAAAGGCTGATTATAATAAATTTTAATTGACACAGGTAAATTGATAAACTGAGAACCTCTGTAACGTGGTGTATGCGGGAGGTAGAGAAGAGGATAGGACGGGACGTTCCAGCTGTAGCCTCCTCTCGCGATCGATTCAAAAGCGGCAGCAAAACGCCCCACCCTATTATGTTTTCTTCTTACCGAGAGAGCATCCACAGCCTCTGGGGCTCCTCTCTTCTCTATCTACCTCATCCCCTTGTCTCTCTATCCATAAGCCTGCAACGGTTTGTGAACCAGACAGCCGGAAGTGCGCTTTGCAGTGTTCTTTGTAATTGAATTCCGTAATCTTCTTCTTCTCCCTTTATTGAATAACAACGATCTATGTCAAGGTATCGAAGTCGTCGTTGTCGTCGCCCTCTTCAACATTTAAATTACATTGATGAAATACGATAATAAATAGTAGAGTTATTTTTTTTTTATTCCATTGTTGTTGTTGTTGTTGTTGATTGTGTTTATTTGTATTTACCTTAGGTTAAATATTATGAGTAGGAGGAAAGATTGATTAATACAGGAAAATACTTGGTAATTATTTTAAGTGATTTCACATCAGTTTTGACTACCGATTGGTCATATATATACCGTAAGTATAGATGAGAAAGCTTGGAAGAGTATGCAAGGATGTAACCGGTTTCCCAGGTTCATTACTCTGACTCTCGATGCATCTCCTTTCCTGACACAAGTGTGTGCAGAATAAGCTGTGTAGCTCCAAGGCACTACGTGGAACTTCATCCCCTTGGTGGTGGTGGTGATGGTGTGTACACTGTTGATGTATTTGAGTAAACGAGAAAGAAAACTTACCTCAAAGGAAGTCCTGTCATGGCTTGGAGAGAATAAAAAAAGAAATATAAGAGAGAAAGATAGAGAAATCCACAAGAAATCTCTCACATTTAATACCACATCGGTTATCGACCATTCTATAATTATATCGTTGAATAGTAATTTTATACTGATTTTTCGTCTAATTGAAATTCATTTTTTAGGTTAATTTTTTTATTATATTGGATTTGAATGTTTTACTCAACTTTTAGGAATTATTAAATCCAAGATAAACGTGTTAAAATAACACGTATAGTACCGGACATGAATGCTGGTTAATTTTTTAGAGGTTATACATGAGATTTCCCTATACCTTCCTATAGAAAATCACACAGCAGTTATGTTCGGTACTGTATAAAGTGTGATCAATGTAAAATGTCCATAAACAAACTGTACATGTTTTGTAAACATTTGTTACTCACTTCAAGTATGTGAAAAATCTATAGTTTGTTTAAAGCTTCGAGACAATTAATATTATAATAATTTCACCTACCAATCATTTATTAATTTTTAAAAGAACTTTTTGAATTTTGGAATACTAAAATCTGACCTATAAACTGTAAATCCAACGTTTGTTACTGTAAATATCGTACCGGAAATTAATGCTGTATTATTTTGTATAGGATGGTATAGGAAAATCGTGTGTATAACCTTAAAAAAATTAAACAGTATTTATATCCGGTAGTGTAAATACACTTGCTCAGTACTAAACTGAGTTGTTTTGGTTTGGTACAGAGAAATTGCATGTATAACCTCAAAAAATAGATGTTAATACACTCTGAAGTGTGTTGAGAATGGATATAAAGCTGTATAGTTTGTACATAGCAATTTACCATTGAACAAGATCGAGATGTGTTATTTTAACACACTTCAGATTTACAGCGTATAATCAACGTTTTTTAATTAAAATTGTCATTGAATATCAAATTTCGGCCATTCATTATTTTGAATTCTTCAACAAATTTAAAATACGAGTTCTTTTGTAAATTTATGTATTCCTAATTCATTTTAATTAAAATATTTTTAGACTCTTCAGTTATAATTAACTTCATTGTTTATATTTAATCATAATAAATGTAATTTAATAACACCGAAAAATATTAATTCTTCTCAATTATCTATACGGTAAATTTTTATAATTATCATTTTTATTTAAAAGTAAAATTGCAAAGTACTTGTGAGTACACTTTTTCTGAATTTAGAGTAAAAATTGATTTTTGTCCATTAGAAAAATAAAAAATGGTGTCTGTAAAATTCAAATTTTTTTCACAATTTTTTTTTTTATTTTTTATCATTATTGAAGACATATTTTTATATGTATATAATATTATTTATATATATAATAAAAATAATATACCAGAAATATTTAATTTCTTCACAGTATTAGCTTAGAAAAATGAGATATCAACTGAAGACATAAAAGGTGCGAATGAGGAAGATGCCAAAAAGTATATGAGAGTACGAAAATTCAGTTTTAGCATAGGAATCGGGATAAAACATTTTGCTCGGGCTGGCTCGGCACTTCTCGGTCAATGAACTATCGTCGTTGGTGAACCCAGTTGGTCCACTCGTTTCTCTTTCTCTCTCTAGTTACTCCGCGCGTGAGTGTCCCCCTCTTCTTATCCAACTTCTCTGGTATCCCTCTCTTCAGATACCGCTGTTTCCACTCGGTCCAATCCACATTTTACCCTTTCTCTCTCTCTCTCTCTCTCTCTACTCTAAACTCAACATTCGCGTTTTTACCCCCACCAATACCGTACTTTTAGTACTCAGATCCGTTCATTTATTTCCCCCTCCTACCAATCTTTCTTCCCCGCCATTTCTTTCTCTCTTATGATTACGATCGTCGAATTCTTACCTTATTCCTCTTATGTATCGTCGTCATTCTTTCCCTTGTGTACATGTGCCAGCTATATTCCCCCACGCTTCATTTTAGGACCGTATACTCTCTCTTGAAGGCTTGGGGGATCGCGCGAGTTGCAATGCCGTAACATGCCGGGTTTTACTTACCTCACAGGTAAGCTGAGCTCGCGCAACTCGCGTGCATTATTATAACCGCCGTAAAATAACCTCCTAATAAATACAACAAAAAACGTATTAATTTTTCGGGAGAGAGAGAGAGAGATGATCTCTCTATGATTTCGGCTACGCGAGCACGTGGGTTATATTTTGTTATTTATTTATTTTATATAACACTCATGTGATTAATTATATATTTTATTGATACACAATGATATGATTGTTATTACTGAGATAGTATGATTAGTGATTTTATCATCAGTTATTGATTATTGACTATCAATTAATGGTACTATAATTCAAGTACTTATCATTATGTTGAGTTATTGTTATTATTTATGTTTGATATTATATTGTGACAATGTCAGATTTATGATTCATTTAATTTAT